TGGATACCCCCTGCCCCGCCCCAGGGCTCCCCCTGCTCTGGAGGCCCAGCTGGGGCCGCGCCCCCTCCCCCATGCGCAGGTAAACAGGAGCGGGGGCGGGGCTTAGGGGAAGAGAGGGGCCCTTGTGACGGTTCCCGCAGGGAAGCCGCGGTGCGTGGGGCTGGGCAGGCCGGCCAGCGGTAAGTTGAGTGGTTCCGGGCGTTGGCCACGATGGGGGCCTCCTGCTGCAGGTGTCTGGGGACGGAATGTGCTTGCATTTGAGAGACGGTGCACAAAGCCTAGTTGTGCGTGTGATGGTGTATGAAGCTCAGGTGTGTGTAGCGATGGTGTCAGGCTGTGGGTATGCGCGTGAGAAACAGACTGTTGGTGGAACCCTATGAGGGACCAGAGGGACTGTGTGGATGACGGGGGCTGTTTCAATGATGTGGAAATGTGTGTCACCTCTGACGGTGTACCTGTCCTGCCCCGTGCCTGCGTGTCTATGTACTGCAGGGAGTTAAACCGTTTGTAGGATCCTGACCTCTAAGAGGTTTCGTGGCCGGGGTTGTCGTTCTGCCTGTATGATAGGGGAGGTGGGCAGTGTGTGCACAGGATGGCAGCGTGGGGTGCGACTGTGATTATCATTGTCAGCTGTGTGGTGGTGTGACAGGGCCGAGCATGTGAACGAGAGTGAGCCGCTTGGAGGACTGTGTGAATATGGGAGCTGGTGTGTGTCGAGGACAGCACCAGTGCTGTGCGGCTGTGCGTGTCACTGTGACTGTTACTGTGGTCGTCGGTCGGGCTGTGGGCGGTCCAGGCAAAGCTGTGTCTGCGGCACTCGGCTCAGACGTCTGAGACTGCGTGAAGTTGTATAAATTGGCACGAATCCTGGTGGTGGTTGTCAGGGTGGCTCTTGAACTTGTGTGATTGTGTTTAACTGTTTATGGGGCTTGTATGTGAGGTGTGAAGACTAAGGATGACGTGACCTGCGTGTACACGTAAGTACGTATAGAAAGAGAGACTGACGAATGCACAAACACACACAATCAGAGAGAGCGAGGGGGATGAGAGCCTGCGGTCTGTAAAACCCACAGGATTACATGCTGCCCTTTCTGCGTGTCTAAGCCTATATGATTGTAAACTTGCGAGCAGGTGCAGAAACTGCTGGGCAGCTCATAGTGGACACGGCATCTTGAGTGACGTGTGCTTGAGAAGGTGTGTGCGGGAACTGTGGCACTGCCTCTGCTTGTCCCCACAGCTGTCTGTGCCCTGGGCACCAACTTATGACAATGTAACTGAGTCTGACTTCACGGGCCATTGGCACGTCCGTGTTTGAAGCTCCGTTTGGGCACCTGTGTGTGCTCCACGTGCGGGCATGCAAATCCCTGGCTGGCCCTGCAAGAGGGTGGGGGACGTTGGAGGACGTGGGGAAGATGGTGACAGGTCCATAGTGAATCCTCCAAGTGTGCGCACGCTTGGAGGAGGCATCGGGCAGACAATGGAGAGTGGGCTGCTCGCGGGACCGCGAGTGTGTGAGGGGGCACGTGTCATGAACATAAGTGCAAGGAGACAGTCTGGGTGTGAGAGGTTTGGGATTTGGTTATATTTTCATGGGTGAGCGGGGAGAGACAGAGTTCTTTTCCGTGTCCGTTGGGTTTTATTTCTGAGAGGAAAGATGCCTGTGTGTTGGGTTGTATTTCCAAGAGGGGAGTGTGTGTGTGTGTGTGTGTGTCTGAGTCTGAGTTAGTGAGTTGGATTAGGTTGTAATCTGAAAGGACAATGTGGATGTGTGTGTGTATCGTGTTTTATGTTTTAGAGAAGGAAGTGTGTTGTGTTGTATTTTTGAGAGGAGAATGTATTTTAGGTTGTATTTCCAAGAATTCCTTCTTGGGTATGTGTGCGTGTTGAACTGTATTTCTGAGAAGGGCGTGTGTGTAAGTATGTGTGTAACTATGAGGGCTCCACAGGCACTGCCAAGTGGGTCATTGACTTTGTCGCTGTCATATAAATCGCATGAAGTCCAGCATGTGAGACCCCCACCCATTATGATCTGTGACAGACCCTAAGCTGTCACGTGGCCAGTGTGACATCCATGGGCCACACCTGCCACACGTGTGTCCCAACACGCCTTGGGCAGGCTGGGCCTGTCTGCAGTGGAGGGCGGAGGCCCTGTTCGCTCAGGGTCTATCAGCTTCTCAGCCCTGGGGAGCCCACACAGGTCCCCCGCAAAGCTCCCTCATTTAGAGGCCTCCTCTGCTTCTGGCCTCAGCCCCTTGGCCCTCTCCTCCTGCCCCTCCCCACCCCCAGTAGTCCGACTGGTTCCCAACCAAAACACCCTAAGAATGAGCTCACAGGGAGGCTGCCGCCTCCACACACCCCGCCCCACACACCCAGGAAAGGAGAGTGCCTCAATCCCAGGTCACACGGCCAGGAGGTCTGGGCCAGGGTATCCGGGGCCCTCGGGGTGGTGAGGGCTGGCCAGGTAAGCTGAGGGCAGGTGGAAGGCCACAGCCCCACTGTTTGCCCTCTTTTGGCTGGTCACATATGGGATGGGCTTTTGGAGTGGCCCTCAGGGCTAAGGACAGGCAAAGCTAAATTAGAATGTTCCCAGTTGAGGGCTGGCCTGCATGGGCGTGGGACAGGGTGCCGGCTGGAAGGTACGGAGTCAGCGGGCTGGCTAGGATGGCTGGTTAGGGAGACAGCTTGGAGGGGGCCTGCTGGTCAGAATGGTGTGGCGGCTGAGGGGCTGGCTCGTCTGGCCTTGACAATGATTTCCCAACCCCGGCCGCCCCCTCTCCCCCCACACCCCAGGAACAGCAATGTCCGTGCAGGTGGCAGTCGCCGGGAGCATGGGGCTGGGCCCAGAGCGCCTGAGCCCTGAGGAGCTGGTGCGGCAGACGCGACAAGTGGTCCAGGGGCTGGAGGCCCTACGCTCCGAGCACCACGGGCTGGCGGGGCGCCTGGCGGAGGCCCTGGCAGGACAGGGCCCGGTGGCTGGCTTGGAACTTCTGGAAGAAAAGCAGCAGGTGGTGACACACTCGCTGGAGGCCATCGAGCTGGGGCTGGGCGAGGCCCAGGTACGAGGGGCCAGCTGTGGTGGGCGAGGCTCACACCTGGGGGGAGGCCCAGGGAGGAGAGTCAGGTATGCAGGGGGGGCAAGCCTGGGGTAGGTGAGACCTAGGGGAGCCAGGCCTGGGAGTGGAAGGCTCTAGGCCAGAGTTGGGGTCCCTGGGCAGTACTGGGGGACCCTTGAGTGTGACAGGAACTTCTGAACCAAATGGGGTCCTTCCTTAGAACTGTGGGTCCTGGGGAGACTTTGGGGTGCACGAGTGGGACCTAAAGTGTCCTTGGGCATAATTTGTCTGCCTGGGTGAAATCAGAGGGGTCCCTGGGAGCCTCTGTGCATCTTTGTAGTCATGCGGAAGAAGTCTCTAGAACCTGGGGGATCCTGGATAGAACATGGGTGCTCTGGCTTGGTTTGAGGCCCTGGGCTGGGCCAGGGGCTGTCTGGCAGGGTAGGGACCAGGCCCCCGACTCTTGACCCTTCAACCAACGCACGGCAGATGCTGCTGGCCCTGTCGGCGCACGTGGGTGCGCTGGAGGCCGAGAAGCAGCGGCTCCGCGCGCAGGCCCGGCGGCTGGCCCAGGAGAACGCGTGGCTGCGGGAGGAGCTGGAGGAGACGCAGCGGAGGCTGCGGGCCAGCGAGGAGGCCGTGGCCCAGCTGGAGGAGGAGAAGGGGCACCTCGAGTTCCTGGGGCAGCTGCGGCAGTATGACTTGCCTGCAGAGAGCCAGGTGCTGGGCGGCCACGGTGTGCCGGGGGCCCCGACCCTCAGATATCCCACAGCCCCCCAACCCTCAATGGAGACCCAGTGCTCTAGACCCTCAGAATCCTCAACCCACTAGAACTCCCGCAGAAGCCCCCCAGCTGTTGCACGGCACCCCCAGCCCTCCGCGAGCACTCAGGCGAATCCCGAGACCCCTGACCACCTGCCTCAAACCCTGAGATTCAGCACCCCATCTCTGAAACCGACCCCCTCTCTGCAGCGGCCCGAGTCCCCACCTCGCCGAGACAGCCTGGCCTCGCTGTTCCCCAGCGAGGAGGAGGAGAGGAACGGTGGGTGTGGGGAGCTCAGCCATGGGGGACCAAAGGGCGGAGATACGGAGGGACAGCTGAACCCTGAGGTCTCCGAGCGGGGGGTGGGGAGGCCAGGGCAGGGTCATGAGGATGAAGCAGGTGGCTGTGGGGGTGACAGCAGGTAGGTGAGGCCAAAAGCTGTAAAACCAGGCCGGCCACGCTGGTCACAACCCCACGAGCCACATGTCCACGTCCCACGGGCCAGTCGGATGCCTGGGATCCCAATCTCAGAAGTCAGTGCGGGAGCCCGTGGTCCCAGGGGCAAGCGGGCAGCGAGGCAGTTGTAGGTCTGGAGTGTGGGCGTCCCCTCGTGGGGCTGGGGTGGGGCAGGAGGCCCGCAGTGACTCGGTGCCCCCGCCCCCAGGTCCGGAGGCAGCAGGGGCCGCAGCGGCTCAGCAGGGCGGCTACGAGATCCCGGCCCGTCTGCGGACGCTGCACAACCTCGTGATCCAGTATGCGGGGCAGGGCCGCTACGAGGTGGCTGTGCCACTGTGCCGCCAGGCCTTAGAGGACCTGGAGCGGAGCTCCGGCCACTGCCACCCTGACGTGGCCACCATGCTCAACATCCTGGCGCTGGTGTACCGGTGAGGCCACAGCTGGAGGGGTGGCCAGGGCGGGGACCATTGCTGTGTGGAAGGGGGGACCCTGGTGGTGTCAGCATGGGGCACAGGAGTGGTGGTGGGGAAGCGGGGACGGAGATCCGGGGTGGCCACCAGGACCCAGGCAAAGAGGAGTCGGGGGGCCTGGGCGACAGACCCCAACAGAGTAGGGACGATATCTGGGGTGGCCAGAGGCTTGGCAGCGATCTGGGGGTACAGAGACCCTGTGCTAGACTTAGGAGGTATGGGGAAATTCAAAAGGGACCCCAAATGGTACCACCTGTCCTTGGTTCAGCCAGGTCCCTGGGCCTGCTACCCCAACCTGGCTGACTCCCCTCCACCCCTGGGCCGCCCCACAGGGACCAGAACAAGTACAAAGAAGCCACAGACTTGCTGCACGATGCCCTGCAGATCAGGGAGCAGACGCTGGGCCCCGAGCACCCCGCGGTGAGTGGGGGCCCTGGCAGGAACGGGGGTTGCGGGCTGTGCCTTCCTGCCCTAACCTCCCTCCCACCCCCTGCAGGTGGCTGCCACCCTCAACAACCTGGCTGTCCTCTACGGGAAGCGTGGGCGGTACCGGGAGGCAGAGCCGCTGTGCCAGCGTGCCCTTGAGATCCGCGAGAAGGTCCGGCCTCCCTGCCTGGCCCCGGGCCCTCCCCGTGTGACCCTGACATGCTCCATTCTGTGGCTCTCGCTGCGACTCTGATCTCCTGGGGCCCCAGCTTGTTTCTGTGACCTCTGACTTTTATGCCCTTCCCACTGGATGTTGAGCCCACGATTTGAGCCTAGTGCACCCACTCCCATGACACCACCTTTGACCTTCTGTGAGCTCTGTCTGATCTTGACTCCTGACTTCATGTTTTAGGTTACCTCATATGCCCCCGACCCAGTACAACCCCTTCCCTGATCTACCCATTCGACCTTGTATCCCAAGGTCAGGGTGGTTTCTGATCCACCGTGATCTGATGAATTCCCAGTTTGAGGGGGTAACCTCTGCCCTCCAGCCCCAGCATCCCATAACTTTCCACTTAGATCCTGTAATCCCTAACTTGTGAGCCCCGTTATGGCTGCTGGCACTAGCCCACCAATCCTGGATGACCCCAGTGACTTGTGACCCCATCCATGGTCCTTAGGTCTTGGGTGCCGACCACCCAGATGTGGCCAAGCAGCTCAACAACCTGGCCCTGCTCTGCCAGAACCAGGGCAAGTTCGAGGAGGTGGAGCAGCACTATGCTCGAGCCCTGAGCATCTACGAGGCCCTGGGCGGGCCCCACGACCCAAACGTGGCCAAGACCAAGAACAACCTGGTAAGGGCGCTGTGGGTCTGGGGCGGGGGACTGACAGGTCACGTGATAGGGCAGCACCTGTTGGCTTGGGAGGGTAGGATGCACAGGAGCGCCCCCACCTCTGCCAGGCCCGTGGAGGAGGGCTACCCTAAGACTTGGGTTCTCAGTTGGGCCCTGACTACTGAGATCACTCATCACAGAAGACGTGGAAGCATCAGGAAACAGGCAAGCTGGGAGCAGCCAGAAAACAGCTCCAGTGAGATTAAGCTGGAGTGGCAGGGAGCGGGTGACAGCATCAGACACATTTATTGAGCTCTAGACCCCCTGCTTGGTACTTTCCCTGTCCCATCCATCTGTCAAAGGACTCCGTGAGGTAGGTGCTCTTGTGGCCCCCATTTTGCAGAAGAGGAAACTAAGGCATAAAGAGGTGTCACTGGCCTGGGCTGAGCCAGGGAGCCCCCTGAGCTGGGCCACCTAGGCAGGAAGTGCCGGGGTCAGACTCCAAGCCCCCTCTGCCGTAGGCGGAGGCTCTGAGTACGGGGTGGGGCCGGATGTGCTGGGATGCGGCGCTGGGCCTGGGGAGTTCCCAGATTTGAACCAAGATCACCCAGGCCATACCCTCCCGCAGGCCTCAGCCTACCTGAAACAGAACAAGTACCAGCAAGCAGAAGAGCTCTACAAGGAAATCCTCAGCAGGGAGGGCCTGCCTGCCCCTCTCGGTGAGCCCCCACCCCTCCCTTCCCCCAGGGTGCTTCTCGGTGTCCCACCATAATGTCCCCCATCTGTTCCCCCAGGGGCCCCCGACGCAGGCACTGCCGGTGACACAGGACAACAGGTGCGGATGGGCTTGGCTTCAGCTCCCAGGGCGGGAGTGGGGGCTGGGTGTGTTGGAGGCTGACTGTGTCCGTGGCGCCCGCCCCAGACCCTTCGTCGGAGCAGCTCGTTCTCCAAGTTCCGAGAGTCTATCCGGCGCGGAAGCGAGAAGCTGGTCTCCCGTCTCCGAGGCGACGGAGCGGCCGGGGCAGCCGGGTGAGTGTGGGACCTGGTCAGCAAAGAGCCCCGATATCTGCAGCCCACCCCGCTCCCTGTCGTGCTCAAGAACCTTCCATGGCTTCCATCTTCCCTGTGACACGTACAGTCAAACCCAGTGCTGGGGGGGCCTTGCCCGGGGTGGGAGCCCGAGGCCCCTGGACTCACTCGTCTCCTCTGCAGGATGAAGAGAGCCGTGTCACTCAACATGCTGCACGCGGAGGGTGCGAGGGCCACTGGGACCCCGGTGAGGGGCAGACGGGTGCCAGGGTCAAGGAGGGGGTAGGAGGGGCCCGGAGGGGCGGGTGGGGACAGTCAGGCTGGCACTGGGAGCTGGGCTGGAGTGGACCCAAGGACCGGAGAACAGTGGGTTTCACTTGGCCATGGGGGGACAGCAGGGTGAGCAGTACCGCCACTGGGATGGACGAGCTGGCAGTGAGCCCGCTGGGGGTGGCTCTCGTGGCAGCCGGAGCGGGTCTGTCCGGCACTTTGTCCCCCTTTCAGCCATTCCTTGTGACTGTCCCCAGTTTGCAAACCGGCACCTGAGTGAGGCTTCTCGGACCCTCAGCGCCAGCACCCAGGACCTGGTTCCCCGCTAGAGGCGACAGGATCGCATGGCTGCAGCCTCTTGGGGAGAGGGGTAGGCAGAGGGGAGTCCTTCCGCCCCGCTGCCTGGCTCCGTGCCTCCGGGGGGCACCCAGTGGACTGGGCCGCCCTCTCCTGAGATTAAAGGCTGTAGCTTTGGCAGCCACGAGCGTCTGTCTGTTTCCTTCCCACGAGGACCTTCCAGCGCCTCCCCGAGGCCCCTCTAAGCCGCTGGGAGCGCCAGGTAAGACTCGGGAGTGACCAGGAACACCGTTTATGACCCTGCCCCCACCTCGCGCTACAGCTGCTGAGCGATCTGCTCGATCCTCCGCAGAGTCTCCTCTGACTGCAGCTGCTCCAGGCTGAGCAGGGACAGGCCCAGCTGATCCTCCTGGGGGCAGGGGGACGGGCAAAGGAGAGGGGTCAGGCCGGAGTGGGAAGACCGCTGCTGCACCTGCCCACATGCCCCACACGGGGACACGGGGTCCAGAGGGACAGGAGGTGGCTTGCACGGTGGGGTTACAGGACCAGGGGCTTGACTCTGGAGACACCCACACACTGCGGAGCATAAGCTAAACATGCCAGAGCAGGGAGGTGGCCACTAGACAGCTGTGACCAAGCTAGGGAAACCCTGCCACCTGCTGACCACAGTTCTCCCACCCGGCTGCCTCCGGGCTCCCACTCACCTGCTCATCTACTGTAGACAAGCTCGTGCCTGCAGCCCTCGACTCCCCCCAGTTCCCAGGCCTAGCACTTGGGCACACACAAAGCTCTCTTTGTCAAGGGCAGGCTGGAGCGTGGGGAGAAAGCCAAGGGACCTTCCTGGAGGAGGAGCTTGGCCCGGGAGGGTGAAGGGAAGCCAGGGCTGGCGGCCTCAGGCTCACCCGGTGGAATGGCTGCGCCATCTGCCTCAGGAAGTACTTGGCCACCTGCACCCCCTCGTCCACGGTCAGGTTGAGGTTGGAGTCACTAAGGTGTTCCTGGATCCAGCGGGGCAGCTTCCCCCGCTTGTCTGCAGAGGTGAAGCGCTGAGCAGGAGAGCGAGGGTGTCAGGACCCCTGGGGTGGGCGGGCTGGACACCCTGCCCAGCGCCCCCATCTGCAAAATGACAAGGGAGCGGGCAGGTGGGCGGGGCCCGACCCGCACCTTGTCAGCGAAGACCATGAGGCCGTAGTCGGTCTTGCCCCTGATGGCCCGACCCACGCACTGGGCCGCGTGGCGCATGGCGTCAAAGGTGAGAAAGTCCTTCTCTCTGATCTGGAACTGGTCCCGCAGGTATTCCAGCCGCGCCTGCGGGTGAGGACACGGGGAGGGGTCCCTTCCTGCCCGTCCCTCGCACTCTGCCCCTTCCCCACACCACACGGGTCCCAGGGGAGGGCCCTAGCGCCCTGCTGACCCCGGGCGCTGCTCACCTTGAGGATGCGGCTCTGGGTGTAGACGTAGGGGACGCCGAACATGATGACGGCCCGGCCGAAGTGGTGCACTGGGTGGGCAGAGGCGGGGGCGAGAGTCACCGCCGTGACCGGCTGGAGAGCCACCTTCGTGTGGCCCGGTGGTGGGAAGGGGGGCGTGGGTGCCGGGGGCCCCGGCTGTGGGGTGGTCCCCCGGGGAACAGACATGGCCAGAGGTCCTGGCAGCCTAGTCCACTCACCAAAGTCGATTCCCTCGGACACTTTGCCTCGAGCCACCGACAGCAGAATGGCCCCACGGCCGTTCTCGCAGGCCTGGGGAGGGGAGGCCAGACAGAGCTGCAGCCCCCAGAGCCGCCTCCTGGGCCCCTCCCCCCACGGCCCCTCCCCAGCAGCTCTTCCAGCACCCCACCTACCTCCTGATACTTCTCCAGGGCGACACTGGTCTCAGCCCCATCTTGGGTCTCAATAAAGAGCAGCTTGTTCCTCTGGATGTTTTCAAGGATGCCCTAGGGACGGACACCAGGCAGGTCAGGCCGTGGCTGGCAGGGCGAGTGAGCATACGGGCGTCCTGACGCAGCCCGGCTCTGCCCCAGACGCCCGGGCAGCAGCCTCCATCCCCCAGCAGACAGAGGGACGGAGGGCGGTGGCGCTGGTCAGTCTCACTTCTTTGGGGAAGCCCTGTGATCCAAGTGGGGAACCGATCCCCACGCCTCATCTTTTGGACAAGTGGGGCAGGCATGTGGCCCAAGATGGACAATCGGGACAGCCTACCCTCCCCCCAGCCAGTGACGAGTAGAGAAGCTGATGCGGGCCAGGCTGCCCAGAGATCTCATGTGACAGTGTAAAAGACACGTGATCAGAGACAGACACACAGACCAGTGGGACAGCGTGGAGGAGCCAGAAAACACATCCCCTCACACATGGACACCTGTGCCATTCGGAGGAGAGAGCTCTTTTCAATAAATGGGGCTGGGGAAATGGATTTCCACATGAACCTTGACCCCGACCTTGCACCATACACAAAGGTGAACCTGAGGCACCTCACAGACCCAGACGTGAAGGGTAAAAATGCAAAGCTTTCTAGAAGGAAACACAGGACGTTATCTTCGCAACCTTGACGTAGGCAAAGGTTTCTTAAATAGGACACGAAAGGCGCTCAATGCGGGGCTCAGGCGGCCGGCAGCCACCTTTCCTGCTGTGTCAGAAGAGCCTGTCTGAGGTCTTGGCTATGAGTGGATGAGGGACTCACCCCCACCATTCCCACGTTCACCTACCCGAGAGCTGGGCCATGGGGTGCTCAGAAGCAGAAAGGACAGGGCAGCCCCCTCCCCTAACTCCACCTTGCTGCCCCCTGGTGCCCGGCTCCCAATTTCCAAAATGCCCCTTGACCTCGCCCACACACTCCCCAGTGCAGACTGTCCCCAGTCTCTGTCCAGCCTTAATTCTCCAGAACCTTCCTCTAACAGCACAGCACCCAGCTAGAGTCATGCTTGCTACCCGGGGTCTCCATGCCATGTGCTGGCGGGACACAGCCATGGGGGTGACCCCAAAAAGAACAGCGAGAGAGCAAGGAAACCAGAGATGGGGTGTGGTCACCCCTCCTGAGGGGTAAGCCTTTGGGGGAGGGGCCCACAGAGGCTGCTAGGGTCTTAGTTCTTGACCTGGACGTGGGGGGAGGGGCACGGGTGTGCACGCCATTCAGTAAACCTTTCATGTGTCTTATACACCATCCTGTCACCTATGACACTTGTCACCATTTACAACACGAGGAGTGAAGCGCACAGAGGAACAGCCAAGAGCCGAGGACCGAGGGGCCGTCCGGGGCGCGGGCGTACCTGCTCGTACCAGGAGGCCACGGTGCTCTCCATGTACTGGTAGCTGGTGAAGAAGGCCACGATGCCATCGGGGACCACGGCAGACATCTCCAGCAGGAGGTTTCCATAGTTGCGGATCACCGCTGTGAGGGGGTCAGAGGTTGGAGCCTCTGCCGGCCCGGGTTCTCCTCCCCACTCCCCTTCAGCGTTCCTGTCTAATGCCTGGTCTTGAACTTGTGGTTCTTAGAAACCCCACGAGACCGTCGGCAGGGCTGCTCACACACACGTGCCACTCTTCCTCCCCGGCCCGTGGAGGACGGCGCCCACCATCCCCGAAGGCTAGGCATGGCCCTGTGACTTGCCGTGGCCAATGAAATGAGTGCAGAAATGGCTGTGTCGCTTCCGGGCGAGCACCTTTGTGAGCCAGCGTGCCATTCACCGTGATCCCTCCTGTCACCTCGCTCCACTATAGCGATGTGTCCAGTGCTGGAAGTCCCCAGAGCGGTGGCACGGGGCAGGCCCCTTCCAACCGACAGTGGCATGCTCCCTGGGCAGGAAGTGTGAAGCCACTTCGATTTGGGGGTGTTCGTTACTGCAGCAAGACTTAGGCCATGCTGACTGATAAGCCTCCCCTCTCGGAACCCAAACAAACCACTCCCATGGGCAGCACACCGATATCTTCCCGGGTCTCGAACTTGGAGGTGATGGTCACCTGGTCATTGCCACGGCCGATGATCTGAGAGCAGGAGAGGCCACGATGAGCGAGGCAGCGGCGGTCGCGGGTGCGTGCGTGCCGGCTGCCAGCCTGTGCTGCTCTACGCTTTGCATAGACACGATATCATTGAAGGAACGCTCGGCTACCCTGTTATCTGCACTGCACAGAATGGCCTGAGGCTCAGAGAAGGGGAGTCACCTGCCCCAGGTGACACAGCAAATAAATGACAGAGATAGAGCTGGACCCAAGTCCGTCCTTGTTCCCGACCAGCAAGTGCACTCGGCCAGCCCCAGCCTCGGGCCAGTCGGTTCCAGAACACTCCTCACCATGACTGTGACAGCCACTGGTGCACTGCCACCGGCGGCCTCGCAAAGCTGCACGGCAGCGTGTGGACAGCAGCCGTCCACCACCCCTGAAGGGCAAGTCCCAACACCACAACACCCTGGGAATCGCAGATATTTAAGTTGGACACACACTCAAGAGTAGCAAAACCTGCCCTGGCCTGAATCGATTCAGAGTCCTGACTTATCTCCCTTTTCAACTCTAAATGAATGTTTTGCTGCTGGAGTAGCCGTAAGACTTCGCCCTGAGGCTGCTGCCCAGACCCCGCTGGAAGTGGCACACGGCGAGCACACAGTGTACGCCTCATTTCTAAAGTCTGGAAAACTCTCATTTCTAAAACGTCTCAATTCTAAAGCACACCTGGCCCCAGGGCTTCAGATGAGGGCCTGAAAGCCCATGTGCTGATGCCCGATTTACAGAGGACACTGAGGCAGAACAGAAGGGTCACTTCCCAAGGTCACGGCCAGACGAACCG